GACCTGGAATTCATTGACTCACTTAGTAAATACGCGCGGTGCTGCCCAACGCCAGGCCTGGTCCCAGGCACTGGAGGTAACTCTGCTGAGTAAGACGGACCCGAGATGTGAGCTAACGAAGTTCAGAGCGCGGCTACCGCTCCACAAGTAATAATAAAGTAAAAGTGAAAGAGGAAGAGAGAGCCACCTCCACAGCAACCACGACAAACACAAAGCAACCTGACCAGTGGGGTGAGCTGGTAGGTGTCTCACGGCCAGCTCTGGCGTGTGGCACTTTCACTGTAAACAGTCCCCTCATCGCTGGGTTTGCAGATTTTCCTGAAAATCGTGACCACTGGCCTGGGAACAAACTGACTCTAGTAAAGCCCTGTGCCGGTGACCAGGGGCTGAGCTCGGGGAGGTGTCAGGAGGGCCCCAGGGACTGTCGCCAGAGAAGACAGACGAGAAGGCGGACGGTGGCTACTTGTGAAGATAGCCTTTCCAGGGAGGTGCGAGAGGGGCCAAGCCCTGCTGGGAATCACGCCAGCACACGGAGGCAGCCACGCGCTTCCCTGCTGGTTCTGCTGCAGCCCTGTGGGGTCTGCCATGACGTCAGCCTGGGGAGGTGATCTCGACGCAACACCAAGCCTGCTGCGGAGCGTGCACAGAACCAGCTTCCTTGTCGTCACAAACCCCAACACCAGTGTGGAACTGGCGGAAACAATGCCCAATGGAGTGGCCCTAGCTCACGTCGCCTGGACTTCTCCAAACCATTAAACCACGGACGGGGGCCTGCACTTCCTGACCCTGCCAGTCTGGGGTTAAACACGACTGCTTCGTCGGATGCACGAGGCGCTGACCCAAGCAGATATTCTAGCTCCTCTCTGGGCACGGGGAACCTCCTCGGCAGTGAGCGAGCACGTAGTCAGCCGCCATGATTCCCCCGAGGACGTGGCCCACTTGGGAGCACGACACGAACACACACGACACGGTCGGAGGGTGGCAGTGCAGGCAGAGCGGTCACGTGTTGGCATAAGGAGTGGCAGTGACAGCAGGGTGAGCCCACACACAGGACGTGGACAGCGACAAGGTGGGCGGGCCCAGCCCGGGCAGGAAGGATGAACTAGATTGAGCATCAGCTGAGCAAGGGCGTGGGGAGGGGACCGAGGGCAGCCCAGAGAAAGGCGAGGGCGGCAAGAACGAGCTGGGTCTCAGTAGCAGCTCAGTTAAGCCAGGGCTAAGGAGATGAGGCTGCGCAGAATGAGCCTGGAGGCTCTGGGTACTGTCTTATCAGCAAGGGAAGCCAAGGACTCCCGAGGGGCTGAGCACCAGGGACTTTCACACAAATGTGGCTTTGGGAAAACGAGTTGTAACCACCCTGCCTCGGCATGGCGAAGCCCGAGAGAGAGAGGCCAGCCTTCTCTCCGGGACCCGCCCTGACCAAATCCCTGGTTACATCTGGGCACCTCCCTCCAAGCACCCCAGAAAGAACACCAGGACTTGTCTGTCGGGGCATTTATTTACCGGCCCAAAAGCAGTCAGGAGTGTGGTGGTGACTGTCCTTTTGGGACCGTGAACTGGACAGACCCTGTCCAGCCGAGAGCCGGGACACGCCTGGCTGGGGGCCGCCCGCGGCGTGGCCGGCAGCTCCAGACTCACGGCACTTACCTGGCAACCCCTTCCCTGGTGTAGAACACGGAGTAGGTGAGGTTGTCTCCATGAGGCTCTGACGCAGGTGTTCGCCACGTCAGCTTGATGAAGCGCGTGGAGACCAGGGAGGCCACGACGTCCCGCGGGGCCGAAGGCAGGGGTCCCGTGGTGGCTGGCGCTAGATGGTCAGTAGTGGCACTGGTCAGTGAGGTGGGAGGCAATGTTGGGATGGCAACATCTTGTCATGTGCACACATTGGGGAACATGAAGGGCAAACCACGGCGGTTTTAAAAAAGAGAACAGAAAAAACAAACACAAAAAAAGAAATAAACAAAACCACGATGGGAAATGAAATAAAATGAATGAACATAAAACAGGCCATTAACCTGCAGGCTGACATGCGGGCCAGGGGCAACTACCGGAAACTAACAGGCACCACTCAAGACACGGCACTGCATGGCAAGCAGGCTTCTGGTCACTGGGAGGATGTGGGCGAGGGGCAGGGAGGATGGCAGCTGAGGAGACCTCGCGGGAGGGCACGGCCGTGCCCAGATGTTTTCTTAAACCCCAGGCAGCATGCAACGCCCCTCCAAGTCCACGTATGGAAGTCTCCTAAAGGACAAGGCCTCAGCCTTCTCTCCACTGCAGCAGACGGGGTATGCTCGCAGGGAGGAGGCTGGTCACACTCTCCCCAGGCCACGGCTAGCGACTGCACCAAGCTGTGTGCGTCTCTGGTCTCAGGAGGCTGGAGCGCTGCAGCCCCGACTTCAGAACCAACTCCGCTCTCCCTGACAGCACTCGGGAGGCTGGCAGCTCCTCCGCTTCACTGCTGTTGCTGCTGCCATGCTGTCAACTCATTAACTGTGACGGTCTATAGCCCTGAATCAAATATCCCAAAGCCACAAAGATGCCACAGGCAGCCTGTGTGCTCTGGGCCTCACTTCAGTACCCAAACAGCCGACAGACCACAGGGACCTGGCAGGGTGCACGAGGAGCTGGGGGAAGCCAGCGCCTGCCGGCTGCAAACTGAGCGTTCCCCATAGCCCTGGTAACTTTCTGACCTCGCAGGCAGCCCATCCTACTGCTGGGTACTCTGATTTTAGACATCTGTACCTGATGTCAAACCTAAAACCTCCAGCCCACCCTGGGTGGCTGCATGTGGGCAGCCACAAGGCCAGCCACAGGCTCCCAAGACCGGCAGAAATACCAGGCGTGCACGTGCCCACGACCCTGGTGAGCTGCAGGACCAGAGAAGGGACCACACAGGACAAAGTCTCTGGGGGAGCCCCTCCAGCTCAAAACAAAAAACAAAGAAATTTTAAAAAACCTCCTTCACTTTGGACTCAGAAAGTGCAAGTTTAATCTTACAAGTTTTAACTAAAAGAGCTTCTCAAAAGCGCATCATAACGCCAACAGGAAAGCAGGAGGGGCAGAGAGGCAAACACGGACTCCGTGGGCCTCGCAGGGAGCGAGGACGACGTGCCGTGGGCTGCCAAAACCTCAAGGGGCCAGCTGCACAAAGGGCCCTAGAGTGACTTTCCTAAGGACGTGGCAGAGGACTCGCGGTGCCTCTGTGTGCTTCAGAAAGCCAGTGATGCACATTTGTTACTGCGCAGAAGAAATGCAGGGAGCGTGCTGGTACAACAGAGGGCAGGGCCTCTAGAAGCTGATTACACCGGGCAGTATTTCAGTCTTGTTCGCCGATACAAAGAGATGACATTTATATGATAACATACTACTGCAAAGGAAGTAAGTGTCTTCATCAGCTCCACCAGGAACAGGTGTAAAGAACGCCAGGTCACTGTACAGGATTCCTGATTGGCCACGAGACAGCTCTGCACCTGTGACCCCAGTGTTCTGTGCCCACGTCCCCAGGTTGCCTCTTCTACTGCAGCCCCACGTCCTAGCTGAGCAGGTGAGAGAGACACTCGTGTGACCAGGGCATGGAACTGGCAGAGAAGTTACGCCAGAATCCATAGCCAGAGGGTATGGAATGGCCCATCAGACTTTTGGCCTGATGGCTTGAGGGGGCCAACAAATCCTCTTCCCCCAAAGCAACTAATAAAGCTGGACAGAACTGCCAAGGCCTGGGGGTTGACCAACGGCACATCGAGCGGAGAAGCCCGGTATTCCTGAACACTAGCGGACAGCACCAGGACAGACAGAGGGGCACAGACTGTTTTGGATGACACTAAAGTATTTTCAGTTGTAATCTTGACCCAGAATAATGAAGAAAGCAGGTGGCTAGAAGAAAAGTAAATCCTGCCAAGGGCAAGCGCACTCCAAGTACTTTGGCAGGTGCCACGGTCCTGTTTCCAGCTCTCCACGCGGCGGGGTCTGGGACGGATGGTGACTCCGTCACAGGGAGTGGAAGCAGAGGAGTAGCGCTGCCCAGCGGTGGCAGTTTAGGCTAGCATCCTCTTACACTGTGACGGCCTAATGGAGAGAAAGCCCTGCTTTCAGGGGATTGGCGCAGGGACAGCTAAAGCCCCCTACCTAAGTCCCACCCACTGTGCCCAATACCTGCGACGGCTGCCGTGGGGTCACTGCCAACACCTGAAGGCTTTCATAGGTTCTCCAGGTTCAAAGCACAGGTAGGAAAGAAGTTTTAGAAAACAGAGGCAGATTTTAGTTTGAAATGGGAAATTGCTTTTTAAACCTAACAGTGTACTGAACAGAACGGGATGTCTTATGAGGAAGAATGCCCTGTCCGTGGGCAATGGTAAGAGTTACTGTGAGATTAATTGCTGCGCAGACTAAGTTTATCGTTATAAACTTCCATCATTTTCTGAAACAGAAAAAAAGACAAATCTTGCTAGTAACCCTCAGGACCCGCGCTTATCACTTAGTGAAAACGGCAGGCGATTTTCCGCTATGCACTAGTTTAAGGAGAGCTGCCTTATAATCAGATGCTTTGTGAAATCCTGACGGGAATTTTAAGGCTTCACAGATGAGTCATTTTCCTTCAAGGTTTATGTGACAGAAACTGTGATTTACTTACTTACGTCGAGAGGTTTTTGCTATAGGGTGTGTGTGCTCCCTGGAGAGACAGAGACAGAAAGTGAGAAATCACCCCCAGAGGGGACTTACTTACTATTATTACTGTTATTACTATTTAAGAAGTCTGTCTGAGGACGCACGCATTCCCTGGAGAGAGAAAGGGGGAGGGCGAGTGCAGCCCGATGGGAGTGGTCACGCTGCAATCCCTTCTCCGCTCCCTCCCACTCGCAGATTTGGGCGTGCACCCACAATTGCCCGGTGTATTTTTCAAGCTGCAGAGTCCGGGACTCAGACCACGCAGCGGGCCATGTGGGACCCAGCTGCCTTAACCACCAGGAACGGGCTGTCCTACAATGACTATCTGAGGCCCACTTTTGATTTGGAATCACCTTCCATCTTATAATCCAAATGACTTAGCTTGTCGGAGGAGAAATCGAAATGTTAGTTAGAATGCAAACGACTCCTGGGAACCAGCAGTTAGCGTAATGGCTATGTCGCTGGACTCCCACGTAGTCGACCGCGGTT